TGCAGCACACCTGTTGTCACCTGTTTTCAGCTGGACTGTCACTCTACGAAGGGCTGAAACTGACAAATTAAGAAATAAATATAACAACGTCAACAGCTCAATACATTTTTTTGTAAACGACAATGAATACCACTTAAATGAAATGGAAAAGTGTGTATATAATCTTGACAAAAACATATATTTCTTCAGTAATTTTGAGTTGTACTTATATATTTTTTGCTCCAACATATATAATTGTTCATCATATTATCAAAACAATTATTTCTTTACAATCTGATTCCTGTTTTTTGTGTTGTTCCTCATCTGAGATCATCTGAGGTCAGTAGACCTGAAATCATATTTCTTTGTCTGTTTCTCTGAGTTGGGATGATTCCTGATTAGCCCCAGAGAGCCTCAGCCCTCTTTAACCCAATTTTCACCTGATTAATTTAGCTATATGTTGTGGGTCTAGGCTGCGGCTTTGTTAGTGGCTACATAAATAATTCATTACAGGTGTGCTTTCCTGTCCAGGGGGGGCACGGGGCGCTCTTTGCCCTCTGTCACAACGATGGTTAAGTGTGTAAAGATTTACTTTGCTGTCAGGTCATTCTTTGGGCGTTGTTTGGTAAGGAGACAGGAACATGCACAATTGACCTTATGTAGAATTTAAGATAAAAAGCTTAATAAAGAAGATGGTGGATCCCTTTTCCACTCCACATCAGCAGCTCTGCTCTGCTCGCTACTCATTTAATGAGTTCAGCAGTAGGTCGGCACAATGGAAAAGGAAACTCAGACTAGGATTGAATAAGAACACTGGCTCTGTAATCAGTGTCAGATCAATCCCTAATCAAAGTATTAAAGTTACATTTTTAAATTTGATAATATTCATCAGTTAAACATCAGTTTATCACATATAAGTAAGAACTTGGCGCTTTGCATCCATACTCAAAACTTACAGGAACTTTTATAATGTTCAGAGAAAGCCCACTGGCAGGTTCTCTGTGATTTCCATGCAGTCAGAGACTCCATCTGTCTGGATTGCAGGCTACGCTTTGGTCTTAAAGACAAACTGGTGCCTCCCTGTGGTGTTCTGGGCTTCTGCAGCCTGTGTGGAAAAGCCTATCTCAGTGATGCTATGCACACACAAACGTAGCACTCTGTCTTACATAAAGTGACAAATGGGGTTCTGCTATCCCTAAGACAGATGATGATGATGATGATGCACATGCTCCTGAAGCCACAAACACAAGTGCCACCGCCTCCGTCAGTTGTGCACATAGAAGGTCAGCTGAGTCTTCTGGCATTTTACCGAAGAGCTCTGCTCCGGGTAGACTTGGATTTGTGAGGACCTTTCTTCTTCAAACAGGCCACTGGGGGCACTTGCATGCAGATCACAGCCCCGTTTACAGACTGGTTTTATAGGTTACCTTTTAATGCTTTATTTCTTTATGGATAGTTTTTAAGAGGGCGCTCTCTCACTTATATTACTGTTGCCTCCAGGTGTGTGCTTAGCTCACACTGAGCAGAACAGCTGAATCTGTATCGTAGCAGAAGTTAACACACTGTCAGACATGCTTTAACCTGCGATCAAAATGCTTGTAGCATTGTTTTACACGCACCATTTTGTACTTTATAACAACCCACTTCATGTCTTTTTTTTCTTTATAGGGCCTGGAGGTCACGTGTCAAAGTACAGCCTCAGCTGGTTGGCTGAGAACAGCTACGAAAGAAAGAAGAAGGCCGTCGTACAGCCACGCATCCTGTGGAGCTCCAGCATCTACAAAGATGCAAACGTACCAACGTCCAAATGGAGCGAGTTTATGAGCCACGACGACGAGCTGAAGAAGTTCCTCCGCAACTACCTTCTGTACGGGATCGCCTTTGTGGATGACGTCCCGCCCACAGTGGAAGCCACCGAGGCCGTGACGCAGAGGGTCAGCCTCATCAGGTACTGCTCCTGTCCTCAGCCTGCTCCTCAGGCCCGCCGTGTCTCTCATGAATGACACCCCCTGTGTCCATTTACTGTCTGTTACCCACAAGGGAGACCACATATGGGAGGATGTGGAGCTTCACGTCTGATTTTTCCAGAGGAGACACTGCTTACAGTCAGCTGGCCCTGGACCGTCATACTGACACCTCATACTTCCAGGAGCCGTGTGGGTAGGTGGCTGAGAGACGGGGGGGGGACAGGGATTGTGTCTGAATAATGATCAAACAAGTACACACACGGTTTACGTAAAATTGACACGCTTATTGTAAGACACGTTTTTCTAGTCTAGTTTTAGCAAATCATTCACCTCTTTGAAGACCCGCTGTCTTCTGCCGGCGCAGAATCCAGGTTTTCCATTGTCTCAAGCACGAGGGGACAGGAGGGAGGACGCTGCTGGTGGACGGGTTCCACGCCGCAGAGACTCTGCGCCAGCGCTCGCCGGAAAGCTTCTCGCTGCTCGCCGGCGTCCCCATCAGCCACGAGTACGTGGAAAACACAGACAGCCACCGGAACCACATGACGGGCATCGGCCCTGTGCTCAGCGTCTACCCGTGGAACGAGGAGCTGTACCTGATGAGGTAGGATGATGCTGTCACTCAAATCTCAGAGATCCTGTTGAGATGAAATCTCATCAGCTCCACGTGCTTTATCTGTACACCTCCTATCTCTGTTCCTCTTTAAGTTTCTTTACCGCGATGGGTATATTCCTGTTCCACCTGCCCATGACCATGACCTCAGAGGGTTTCCCTTTGAGTTTTTAACGATATAGTTATAAAGTTATATATATTGCAGATACAACAACTATGACCGGTCAGTGATAAACACAGTTGCCCACGACACCGTCCGGCAATGGTACGCTGCACATCGAGAGCTGACCAAGGAACTGAGGCGGCCAGAGAACGAGCTGTGGGTCAAACTGAGTCCAGGAAAAGTAAGACAGTCCAGCACTGATGCTGTGAAATAACAAATGTACCTTTTAAATGCATCAATGACAGGCAAAAATTAACAAAATTATATATTTAAAAAATGTTAAAGCAATTGAATGAGTTTATTCTATCTGTTCCTCATCAGGTAATTTTTATCGACAACTGGAGGGTTTTGCACGGGAGGGAGTCTTTCACCGGCCTGAGGCAGCTCTGTGGATGTTATCTGACCAGAGACGACGTCCTCAGCACTGCCCGTGCCTTCGGTCTGCAGGCCTGAGCGGATCAGTCTGTCATCTGAAAACCTGTAATACAGCTTTAATTACATTTGCTCCGAGAATAATCTGACTTCATATTTAATCAGCTTGTCTGTATTTTGTCATCAATATTTTGTCGGTTTTTTATATGTGAAAATATCCTTGATTCCACTTGAAACGGTTAAATGCATAACTCTATAAATTGCCTTCCAGATATTCAGCTATTTTTATGAATAACTACAGATCGAAGTAGTATCTGTTGATGACTTGGGTACAATTCGAATAATTTATCATTGTGTTGGTAGATTGGAAAGCTTTTAGCCAAACTCCAAAGTGTTGCTTAAAGAATGTTTTAGATAATAAAAGCGACCGGAGATCCTGGACGTTTTGTTGTTCCTGTGGGTTATGTTCCAGTTGTTTTCAAGCAAAAAGCTTTCAAAACTTTATGGCTCATATTATTGAAGTCGCCATGGGAACCCCGTGTGGGTCTCCCTCTATTGGCCAAAGATAGAGCTTACACTCCATTCTTAAACAGCAGCATGAAAATCAGCTTTCTGTCCTGACATTGGCCTCAGACGTGTCCACAGCTTTGTAGTCGTATTTCTTCAGTCTGTGGATGATAAAACAGGCACTCAGGATGATCAGCTCACATTCAGCCAGCACCAAAGCACAATTATTATTTCAATGAGAACTTCTAAGCCGTTCAAAGGGGAATTCACTCTTTGATGGCCCTTCAGACAAATTGTGGAAAAGATCACTCGCACAACAGATGGGAGCCACTGAATGATTCTTGAGCGAGGCACTGTATTGCGCAGTAAACAAAATATTTATCCCTAACTTGAAAAGTAATGACTGACTGTTGATCAGATAAAGAGAGATAGGTGGCAACAGAAGGAAATAACGGTGATTAAGTTAAGATATCTCCAAAATGTTTTTGGTCTTGAAAAGCATGCCGTACAGTAGTGGTTTTACTAGGTCCCAGTCAGGGATGATGTGCATCTATGGTTGTCTTTTTACATCTTGTCCCCGTCTCTTTCTCCCTGCGGGTGTCATCAATAATTCTACCCAACTACTGTCTGCCGAAAACCTTGCTGGCTGATTGTAAACCGAGGAAACAAATCACCAAGCACAAACATGTAGAGAGGAGCAGGTTTATGCGGCCCCTCTCACCTCTCTGTTCAGCCTGTACTGGCTCTCCAGAGACAGACGGTATAGAATACACAAAGTGTACAGTGGGAGGTTCCCTGGGGTACACTATATTTTTGCTTACATAGGATCTTTTTTTCCCATACTGTAAAATCGTTATTGGAGGCATTTCCTTTTATTATGATCTCTAATTTTTCTGTTTCAGGATTCAAACGAGGTGTGAAATGGTCATAGAAAAAAACAAAACACGGTATGCATGAATCACCAAGGCTTGTACAACAAATGGCCAGACATGAATTTGTTCTCATAGTAAGACTATTACTTAATTAAGACATTACATACTAACTTTAAGTTATTACAAATCCCCTCCTGAGTTGAGTGCAATTATCAACAGTCAGATTCCACATTTAAACAATAGTGATCATTCTGAAGGAACTTTACATTTTTTATTATTCGTGTCACCCAGCTAATGTTTGCATGAGTAAGTTGATGATTTTTTTTCGGTCACATTCACAGCATGGAGCACATTCAGTGGGTGAAAACTGCCTCCTGAACAGTCGTAAAGGATGAGGTTTGCCCGCTGCAGTCACGATATATATTCTGTATGCAGTACAAGGTTGCAGTCACAGTTCTCTTCTAATTTCCAACACTGACAATGAGGAGACTGCTGCAGTAACCATGGCAACTACTGAGGATACTGAGGCCTGCCTAGCAGGTTGTCCTGGTAACTGAGTGAATGAGATGATTCCAGCTGAATGTAATTCCCTTTTCACATTATTCAGGGCCACTATCTTAATAGGTTTGTTAATGTTACAACACTGATGCTGAATTGCAGGCGTTGAAAGATTGAACTGAAATCACAATTTTTAATCAAGGCAGTTATTTGTACGGCCAAACTGCAGAAGCTTCAAAAACCTTTTCCAGGTTGTCACGTACCTCCTTACCAATACCGGAATCATTGTTGAAAACACCAAAGGGGATTCAGATGATTAGTTTTATTTATTTGTGCTATAAGAGCAATAAAAGCAGCAGCTCAAATCACAGAAAACACTAAAGCTGATCTGTCATTGCAGTCATGTTCCCAGGTTGATACATGAATCATAATCCTCTACAAACATACAGTTAATGGTGCTGATAGGTATGGTCCAGTACAATAACATCCCTCTCCATGTTACAGTTAAGACATTTTTCATGAAATAGCACAGTACAGCCTGGAAATATCCCTCCTGGATTTAATTTTATAAGATGATTGACATCATACTGATTTCCTTTCTTCTATATTTGGACATTTTTGAACTTCAGATGTTCACCCCACTGTCTGAGGGTGGCATGCTGCCTATTGTTTGTGGTTGGTCTTGATAGAATGAGATGCAGATGCAAGCATTTCTCAAAGTTGAACAAAGTGGGGGGACTTGTTGCTTCCAGCTATAACCAAAGGAGTGAATCTGCATGGGGGCATGCAAGTGTTTGTGCTGATGAAAATAAATAATTACAAACTAGAAAAACATTTTGGATTCAAGATGTTTTAATCTCAACCGAGCGGGCGTTTTTTTCTCCCTAGTTAAGCAGCGCTTTTGATCAGCAGCTTTCCTCTGAAACACTTTTTTATTGTTGAAGGACGTTCTCTAAAGTTACAGTGTTTTACCAGCTCTGTGCTCTGTTGGCAGACAGTAGCACATGGAAGTCGCTAATTCAAACATTCAAATATATCATAAGAAAGTCAAGAAAATAAGTCAGTTTATACTACATGCTTATGAGTTCCAAAAGCCCTGTAAGCCTTTTTGTGTGACTTTCACTGATGATTTCTGTCATTTTTTTAATGCAGCAGACTAACAAAAGGTTGTTTCTGTGGACACAGTCAATTTTTGCTTTGCATGGCAGGTTGTTGTGTGACCACACTGTGTTGTGACAATGGAGGTTAATTCATTTTTCAGTACTTTGGCAATAGTTTCACAACAATCCCCCCCCCTCTCCCCCGTCTTTTAAGTCTTTTGGGGTCAGCGCTTCTGGCAAAGGAATTAATGCAATTTAATCTCCACCTGGCCTTTATCACTTGCCTGGAGAAAGTGTAAGCCAGAGCATCAGAAAATGCAGCTTATCAGAGGGGAGTTCGCTCCCTGGTGCTGCCGCACACTTATTCATGCACAGTATCAAGCACAACGTGTAATCATTTGTGATTCGCTGTCTGTAATTACCACAAACTGACAAAAGTGATTAACAATGTGAAAAATGTTGATCGGGAGTGACTGGTCGGCCGGGGGGAGGGGGTGGGAAGTGGAGGGAGACGTGCTGGGCTCATTATCCAGAAGACACTCGTAGGTTGGGAAGTGAGATGACCTCGGTGTCTCCAGACGTCTGATCAAAACAACATGCGCTGGCAGATGTGTGTTTGGGCAGAGCTGTACACCGACACAACAAGAGGGTCAGTCTTTAAATAAATGCAACAGTGTGATTCATGGCCAGATGATAACGGTTCCCTAAAGTCAGATTTGAAAACGACAGTATTTAAAAAAAATGTTTCCTTCTATTTATGATCTATTTATGATGATCCATCATTGACGCAACCAAAAAAATACTTTAATATTTCAATAACCTCAAAATCAGCCTGATATGGTGAAAATGTAATCTTCTTTGTGAAATAAATCCAAACCAGACTGCGTTGAAAATCAGCCGCTTCGTTCCCTCCCCATGCTGTGAATCTTCTGATTATTGTTCTGAAACCTGTGTTATATAATCTGCTTGTACATCAATTTACCCACTTATACAGATCATTGTCAGCTCAAAGCAAAAGCAAATGAAGACATATTTTGATGAATCAATGTGAATTAAAGCAGTTACTGAGGGAGTCGACAATTTGGTTCACTATGAAAACAGATTATTAGCTATGTGCTGTCTAACAGGTGCGACTGTCATGCATTTGATTGTATTTGGCATTGATTTGGAGGCTGGGTACACAATTTGTGGAGAACCTGTTATGTGAATGGTCTCTTACAAGTCTTAATTCGATTCTTAAAGTAATAAATAATTCATTAGATGTATTAATACAGCCTAGTGGTCTGATGTTTGCCACCTGATGCATTGCATTTGAAAGTGATACAAAGGTGAAATGCTTTGCAGGGCTCTGTTTATACTAACAACACCAAAGATTTGTGAGACACTGAGACTGTGCACAGGGGCTTTAAGATGCATACTAAGACTAACAATTTTGCGTTCATCAATTTCACACAATGGTTTCCTCTTTTAGAGTCAATCCACCCATCAGCTCTTGACTTGTTTCCCCAGTAAACCTAAAGTTACATAAATGCCCGTACCAGCTAGGAAATATAGAAGTTGCACTGCATAAATGTGCAATTTGTTCAGCAGTTTATTCCCATCCTCTGACTGAGTCACCTCTACATGGTTTTCTTAGTCATATTAATGACTCTTTAGTTTCTCTGAATTTGGGCAGAGGGCTTAAGATAAATCCACAGAATGAATTAAAAAAGGAAAATGTTAAAATTTCTAAAACCAACAGGTGTCAATCCTCCACTCAGTTACGTGTTTTCCCACAGGCAGGCCGAGAGAGGGAAAAAAGCAGAACTCAGGAAGGGTGAGTACAAATTTGAAGTGTTGTGTTGTGCGTTTTGACATACCCGTCTGGACATAGCTGTTACACACCAACCAGCTGTGTTGTAATGTATTAAATGGAGTATTTGACTGCACAGCTGGATAACATTTTCTATTGTTTTCTCTCCTTTCAGGCATGATGCAGCTCAGTCAGCAGTCAGCAGATGGCAGGCCAGCCTGTTAAAAGCCGACAGTTGCCGTGCGTGTTGGGGGGGAGCAGGGAGTCGGATGCAGCCAATGGCAACAGAGCCATGACCACCGCTCTTCAGAT